GCCGTCATTGAATAATTTTAACAAGACTGTTATAGCTATAGAAATAGGCCATGGGCCTATTTCTTCAACGCCGACACTTCTATTCTATTCTATTCCATAGCTGTGGTGACGACTTATTTGTGCTGTCACACATGAAGCCAGTTGTTATTTGATACATGATAACGTTTGTTAAGCATACCGAGTTGGTCACTTGAAACATGATAATGTTCTTAGAAGATGCCCAGTTGGTCACTTGAAACATGATTATGTTCGTAGAACATGCCCAGTTGGTCACTTGAAGCATGATTATGTTTGTATAACATGCCCAGTTGGTCATTTGAAGCATGATTATGTTCGTATAACATGCCCAGTTGGTCACTTGAAGCATGATTCTGTTCGTAGAACATGCCCAGTTGGTCACTTGAAGCATGATTATGTTTGTATAACATGCCCAGTTGGTCACTTGAAGCATGATTATGTTCGTATAACATGCCCAGTTGGTCACTTGAAACATGATTATGTTCGTATAACATGCCCAGTTGGTCACTTGAAACATGATTATGTTCTTAGAAGATGCCCAGTTGGTCACTTGAAACATGATTATGTTCTTTAATTAAGCATGCTGAGTTGAGAGAACTTGACGAGGCGATATCCTCAGCGTCCGTTGATGAACATCTCCGCGTGGGCAGAATTGTCCTGCGTCCATGAGCCTGATGAGCGACCTACAAGTGTCTGCCGTATATTTTTTTCGGCCAAGTTTATCGCACCAAATAATTTCTATCACATTTCTTGAATTATAACGTCAAATTGAAAGTAATCCAGCTTTTATGTCGTTCATTTTACTAGCAAGGAATTTGTTTGCAACCTTTTAATTATGCCATGCTATGTTTAAAGGCACACAATGCGTTATGTAATGAAGTGAAGTTATAGATAATCATTCCTGACGTGTCATGTCCTTATTTTTCGTCACCAGAAGCTTGCAATGACCTAATTTCTGATTATGTGTCAAATGTTGCACCGTATAAGTTTTACGGTTAGAGTAGTTTATATCGTCCGTGCTTCAGTAAGACGTATACTTATCGTATCCGTACTGGTCAACTCTTAGTGTTGATACAAGATATACGATATCAGCTACCATCATCGCTACTCCCTGTCGGTGCTTCAAGTTTAACCAATAAGTTCATGATAATCCTATTAGCTATCTTTGTACTAATGGTGCAAGAAAATATTTTTGTGTGTTGATCCGTATTTCTACTCCATTATTCTTAATGGTACAAAAAAAAAAACTTTTGCATGCTTCTTCCGTATTTCAACGCGGATATTCTTAAACATGTCTATTCATATTAGTTATTTACTTGACTAGTTAATGTCAGTTGTTGTTATATTGTGGTGAAAGAGAATAACTTTCTTGTAATTGTTCTGTATTTCAAAGCGGTCAATCTCAAGCATTTTTTCTACGTTTAATCATTTATTAGATTGACTAGTCAATCCGTAAGCCTGTTTATATTCTACGTAGTTGGTAAGTTACAGACCAATGAAAAAGTTAAAAATCGATAGTTTCTATAAAATGATCACAATTACGTTCCAAAAAAAACTAATGTGGAAATTCGTTCTAATGGCATTACCAATTTTGTAGATGGTTTATAATTATTTCCGGACATAGTTTGTCGCATTGAGGTGGTTTAATTCGTTAATATATATTTATTTATTACTTTAAAAAATTCATACATGACTAAAAATATACATTTTTTATTTTAACTTTTCATACATGCATAGATTTAATCATTTGAGATAAAAAAATTCCTACATACGGCATGGTAGCCAGCGGTCAAACGATGGTGTGGTGTCGTTATAAGACCGGTTTGTTGTACACTTGTGTGGCTCTATTTTGTATGAGTGACGCTCATTAACATATCGTGTTGAGTTTATGCATGCAAGATACAGTAAGAGCCGCCGCAATTTGCCCTTGCTTATAGTGCGCTCACGATTTACTCTGTGCCGCTCCGGTGCTAATTAAGTCATCGGTGCACGCTATTTCCTTCTTCTTCTTGTCGAGTATTTGATGCTAATTTTGTTTGTACTTGTGTGCTTAAATCATAATATTTGATCCGCTAAAAATAGTTAATGTTGAAGATGTTGGAAGCAGTCATACAGGTCAATGTTGTATGTAGTAACACTCCTGACCAAGGCATTTTAAAGGAACGTCTGATTCCAATCTAAATAAAAAGTATATTCCAAGCTTCCTAAGCTTATCCGTTAATATTTCTGGCAGTCTCAAATTTAGTTTCAAACGAGACGTCTTGCGCTAGAAAACTTTCGATTACGAGAAAAACCAGAGTATTATCAACCCATGCCAAAAATTTTACTCTTGTCACCGCGGGCGGCAGCAGAACTTGTTCCCTATAATGATCACTATAATTTACGCTACAGATCCGCCCACCTCAGAGATCCAGTCGCCCGACACGTGCTCATCGCTTATATATTTACCGAGAGCTGAAATTCAGCGATCGTTTCCAGGCCGTACTTTAAGAAAAAGTCGAGAGTTCGTAGCTCCGTCAATGTTTATAGTTTCCAGGCCATACTATCAAAAGTAGCTACCATACTCTTATGTATCTCCGTTAGCCAATTACTAATGGCTTTTCAAACTAAACCCACTTAATCAGAGACTAGAAATCGGCCCCTACGTGTACTTAAGCGAGTTTTTTACGGCCTCTGATCAGCCAAGTTCGCTGTAAATCAAACCTGCAAGATCGAATTTGATTGCGTCGATCAAAAGTTGTCGTTTGACGTCACATTAGAGCGTTTCATATGAAAATTGAATCTTGGATAAAAGTAGATGCGTACGGACCGCACAAGAAGAAATTTTTATTTCTGTTGATTTCATCGTTTCTGTGATAAAAGTTTCAAATGAAGACAAGTATGGCTAAACAAGAGCAGCTTTGTGCGGTGAAGGCTGCTGCATTTTTTGTCGTATAGTTCCCTTATACTGAGCCGCTTCAGTGTAGCGTCTTGATTGATGATAAAACTTAGCTCGACTTGTGCAGATAACCCTTAGCTCGCTCTCCGCTCGTACGGGCGAGACCGTTGGGCTTTGCCCTTCAGAAGCAGGTAGTCCATTCTTCGAAACTCCTGGTTAATTACACGTTTTTTTTTATTATTGAACGGTATTTATGTTGACCTTTGTAATTTTTACTGATATTCAGCGTGAGTTAATTATCAATTATTAACAGAAAACTGGATTACAGATCATAACATTCCGCAAATTGACCGTGAGCTTCAAAATAGGCCTACATATTCATGTCTGTGTAGATAAGGGGAAGCTATATCTATTTATATATAAGGTAGCGCCTCATAAATCCGCGTATAAATTTAATTTTCTTCGTTTTACTTGAGGCTCGGCGGTGTTTCTTGTGTGTCTGACCTTGCTTTGCTGTTATGAATGTTCTGTTAGATTATCACCCAATAAAGACCCCAGCTTCTCCCACTAACAGCTGGTAACATTGAGTTAGTGCCGCTCTTATCAGGCGAACAAATAGCAGGAATGTAAAGCTCGTCTGCATTCAAGAGCTGGTAGTGATATGGGCCTGTTGCTCCCATATCAGGAATCTCGCTCACTCTGATCTCTGCGCCGCTGCTGCTTAATTGGTAGCTCTCTTAATAAGATTTATGATCGCGATTAACCCTTAATTGAGATATATATCTTCTTTAAATTGTGGCTGTTCAGCTTAGCATCGTTATGGGCGAGTTCAGCTCGAACGATGCAGGGTCGCTGCAAGTAACCAAGTGATCTTCGGAATTTCTGAATAATATTACAGAATTCATAGCGAATTCAGCTTCTTACTTATAGTTGAGTTTAAATACTCGAGTGCACGTCATCCAAGGACTACTCCATGAAGCTGTCCTTTAAGGAGTCCTTGACGTCACTTTAATTTGCTTTTATTGAGGTTACCTTTGCTTGTTTTAATTTTGTGTGCTTGCCTTGACGGACGGCGGTCTCCACGTATGCATCACGCTTCTCACTCTACATTCTGATGCATTAATAAATATATAGTGCTAGAGCTCAGTGCAAGTGCTATAGTTCTGTTAAAAGTGCTTGAGTTCGTCTTGATCTTGATCTGAGCTCGTTGAATGTCCCAAATCTGCCTTATACGTGTAACGGACGCAATTATTTTGCCAAAAAAATGTAAGTTTTAAATCGTATGAGTAAATATTTTTTTCACAAGTGAACTTTATATTGGTTGTACAAATTTTCATGATTCAAGTGGCTTTTTTTCTGTAATTAACTAAAGCCCGCTATTTCTGTTATTGGGCTCATTAACTTCGATCTATACTGCAGACAATGAGGAAATTTCACGAATTTAAAGATACCTTATCGACTATGAACGATATCATTGAAATGCATATTTAAACTATATTATATGAATTGCTTGAAACTACGAGTAGATTTCCATTACACTAGTTGCTTGACTAACGCTCGCTTCAACATCTCTTGCTACATGTTGTAATTTTCATACTTGTCCTTTTCATCGCTTGTGTCTTTTCGGATATAAACTTGATCAACTAATTTGATTATGTAGCTTGTTTTGTACACTAATTCCATCTCTATATTTATTGGTATTTTGCTCCCGTATGTCATCGAATTTTGATCAGTGTCTGACGATGATGGTTTTCAACATATTTCCAATAGTGTAGAGTTTAATCACTTCAACACTTCAACATAAGGAACAAAGTTTCTCTTCTAGTTATTTATGAATAACCGCCACTTTGAACGGGGAGTTTTTTTTTTTTGCTCACCAATAAAGCATTAAATAGTAAAATAGATGTTTTGCTAAGCTTGTACACAAATTCTGCGTGCACTGGAATTATACGGAGGTCTTTGCTTGACTCATTATTCAGTATAGAAAGTAAAGCTGTCTGACGGCAGTGTCAGGCCGCATCTCAATGTGTGGAGCAGCTAGGGCTTGTAAGTAAGTAAATTGTAGACTGTGTACGCCTGCTACTTTGGTGTGTTGTTTTTGCAGGTCCCGAGCTATCCAACGGAGGCATGGGTAAGCAAGCAGCTTGAGTGTGTGCCTCCCTCCACTGCTTCTGATCATGTTTCTTGCCCGAGATAATAAAGATGATGGTTTCATCGTTAAGATGGTGGTATACACGCTCTTATTATAAACTGGGCGGCTCTGCGGTATACATTTTAGAAATTCAGAACGCTATGCGGTGTAATACGGCGTAGCACTTAAGATTTTAAATTAAGTGGTTTCAACAGATAAGTTCTAGACCGGCCTATAATTTATGATCATTTGTTATATACTGCATTTAAAAGTGCAACAATGTTCTTATCAACCTGACGTCTAGGCCTATGAAATTATGAACGTGGCACAATTGAAATTATAATTATGAGGCACAATTGAATTCTAAATGGATTTAGAGTCATCACTACGGTGAAATATTAGGTTTTAGGCAGGGTGCAGCGGTGTACAGTTTTCATAGAATCTATTTTTCGAGTAAGAAGATTAACGCTCCTATAGATTGTATGGACCTCTGCTCGCTTTGAACCAAAGCTAAATTTCTTTATTTTATTAACAATGCATGGATTGATGCCGGGTGCATGTGGATATATCTTGATCACTGAATTAAATCTCATTGGGATCCGCACATTTGTAGCGCTGGCTCAAATGAGCCTCCTGTGCTGACGTCAGGAGTCTAACAGCAACGCATGTTTCTGTCTCGTGTTCTTTTTTCTGGTGATTATTTTCCGAATTATTATAGCACTCTCCATAATTATATGCATTGAGTCATGAAAAAATTTTGCTTACATCTCAAGCTCATTTGTCTGTATTTCTCAATTCTGGTTCTGCTAAATGTGTGCCCAACATTCTGTGTTGCGGTTGCAAGCTGTTTTTAAGTCTGGCATGCTAGTTTTTTATATAATTATTTTTCTGGTTTTCGTTCACCTTCACTACTTGATTTTTAATGAAATTGTTACTCAGTTTCTTTCTTCAACTGCTGTCTGATGTACATTCGCATTCGATCATGTCTGTGTAATTAGAGTCTTGCTTAAAAGTTGAATTTTTCTTTGTTTGTGGAGAAATTTGATTTTAATGATATTAGCAATGAGTATCTTGACAAAAAACCTCATTATGCAATACAGTTTAACGAATAAACCCCGAGTATTCTCTTCGTAGAAAAAAATAAAGCTGCAATTTATGCAGACTATATAACCGAATCCTTCCTCGTTTACCCGAGATGTTGTTCTCCTTACTTGTTGACCTGGGCGGAATATTTACAGAATTTTTATTATGTAAATTATATCGTTTTTCATTTACGGAACTTTTAGCACCCGATATCTTGTCCTCAGTTATGCGATAAAATTTCAATTTTGCCTTCAAATGCTCAGCAATTAAGACAGGCGTTGTTGCATTGCTAAGCCTAAAATTTGTTGCATGTATATTGTATTATTTCTGGGATCCATGGCTGGCAGACGAATATTAATTATTTGCGTAAGCGATCACTTCTTTTGGTTTTGTTTGGGCGTTGCGAATAAAGTCTGCGTTTGCGTTATGCTACTTTTCGTACATGTCGCTTTCTGTTCAGGATTAAGAATCCAATGCTTTCAAAATGAATTTTTTCGATCAATATGGATACAGGTAACGAAATATTAATTATTCTTTATTCTAAAGTACCGCAGAGACTGATCATCTGTTAGTAATAGAGAAGTAGTTCGAAATCATCTTTTGACTCCCACTTGATTGACTGAAGGCATTTCTGTTCTTCCTGAAACACTTCACTGGGACTGCCGGCACAGCGTCTTATTTACGGACTATTTATCAGTAAAATAAGTATCAGTGATCACATTTTCATTGCCATCCAGCTCGATGTAGAGAATTAATCTATTTAATGCTGCATTGATTTGCGAAGTTTATATGGACTTAAATTTAAATAAAAATTCTCACATTTTTAATATTCTCAGGCACATTTCGCGTGGCAACTTGCGCTCAGTTACGTGTACATATTGAGAGAATATCTATAATTTCTTTTGATTGAGATAATATTGAAGATATTCTCTTCATAAGTTTACTGATCATACTATGATGTATCGCATGGTTTAAACTTTTAGATTCCAACGGAGTCGATCTCTTGAGTTTTCCTACTTGTTGCCATTGAGAAATTTCATTTTATAATTTTTTTCGAGTATGTAACATCAGATTTTACGCTCGAAGGCTATGTAATATTCGTCAATTTTCTCCGTGCACATGCAACGTAGAGTATCTCGGCTGTAAATTTGACTGCCACGTAAGATGTCTCAATTGAGATACGTTAGGTGTGAGGAATTGAGATTGCCTCACACAATCGGACAAAATAAAGTCAATGAACTCCATTATGATTTATACATACTTATTCGAATGGGTGTGATAAAACTCTTTGTTCGGGCCGTCCGTTTAAATAAAATGGTGACAGGAATCCGTAACTTTATGTAGTTAAGCATATAGCGAGGGATTCGTTTTAATGAAGTTTGGAGACTATGGTCGCAAAAAATTGGTTGGTTGGCATAGAAAAAAATATTCAAAGGCGTTTCCCAGTTTGTACCCCGAAAGTGAAATGAAAAAGTAACGACTCACTAATTAAACGGTTACTACCTATTAAATAACCTACGATACTCAAAATTATGAATAAACGATGCCACAATTATAACTAAAAAAATTAACAAACCTAAGATTTTGGTGCGTTTTGGTGCTGAAAGTTCATATGAAGCTGATTAACAGGAAACTTAGAAGAAATTAGTAAGAGGAAGGTACTCTAGACGGGCAGTTGGAATAGTTTAGTTGGATATTTAACGTTTTGAAATTAGAGAAAGATTATAAGAATGTTGGTCTTTGCTGTGGGAACTGGCTCGACGGCAAATACTGGCGACCACGCTAAAATGCAATTGGAATTCGATGGTTTGATTATTGATATAGAAATTTATTAGGTAAATTGTCTAGAGTGCCATAAAAAAAATGAATACAGAATACAGAAAATGAATGAATACAGAAAAATAATTAATTGAAAAAGCAACATTCACACACAAAAAGAGTGAAAAAAAAAAACAGGAAGAAGATGCCCATATCTTATGACGCTCCTGCTGCTGTGCTGGCTGAAGACAATGAGCCTGAAGTGAATAATTGAGAATTGATGTTCTAATTGAGCTGTACGTTAGTTGAATGAAGTTTGGCGCACTAGATTGACTGACTGAACCGTACGGATGCTGATTAATGAATGAATGAATGAATGAAAATCATAGATGCAACTACTACCTACGTAAACTGCCGAACTGAAAATAACAAATTCTGAATAGAACATCAAGGACATAACTAATAAATCAAAATCAACTAAGAACAGAATGAACAATGGTGGGAAAAATTTCCCACATTAACTATGGAAATGTATGTGATGTGCAGTGTTGCAGCGTGTGATATATAAGTTATGATACGTCGGTTTGTACACGTGTACAGATCGCGGTGTCTCATTTGGGTTGGTAGTTGCCACGTGTGATATTTGTATTGAGTTACGTAAGTTTGTGCACTTATATATACGCTACCTATGTGCGACGTCTCAAAGGTACGTGTTTGCGTGCAGGAACGGGCAACACGAGCGCCGACGGCTCCTACAAACCATCCTTCCTGACGGACCAGGAGCTCAAGCACCTCATCCTTGAGGCGGCTGATGGGTTCCTGTTCGTCGTGGGCTGTGACAACGGCCGCGTCATCTACGTCTCGGACTCCGTCACGCCCGTCCTCAACCAACCACAGGTATAGGCTTTGCCACCAGGACTCTCACGGTGAAATAACGTTCATTTAATGTTGTTTCAAATTAAATCAGCTCGTAATTCACGTCATGGCTGCGTCATTAGAGTGGAGGGATTCGGTTTTCCATTGGATTGATGGCATAACGAGACATCTGCAGGCTATGTCTCGACAGTCTTTGCGTCTGTATAAAGTTCATTGGCTCTAATTGAGCTGTTGAATTAGAGTATTTATTTACTTGTTAAAGCGACAGTCTAAATATTAATATTTATTTTGATATACATATTTTCATTGGATTGTTTACCTCCTCCACCTCGGGCGCAGTGAACTCGCTGTCTGGACATCGTCGTCCGCTGATAACCTGAAAACGAAACAAATATCCCTCTTATTGCTGATAAATAACCCGTCTTCTTTGATTTTCGTGAATAAAGGCAAGAGTTACCGTCAATAGATAAAAAGGTTAATCCATAGTCTATGGATACATTACCTGTCGTCAACTGCTCTCAAAGGCCTAGTACCGCACCAGTTAACAAGAGTCCAAACGCTTTGTCTCTACGCAATCATGATATACGCTGTATAAGCAGGCGTGATTAACATTTAGTTGGTGATTGCAGAATGACTGGTTTGTCAATCATGATATACGCTGTACGGGCAGGCGAGATTAACATTTAGTTGGTGATTGCAGAACGACTGGTTTGGGACGTCAATATACGAGCACATTCACCCCGACGACGTGGAGAAGGTGCGTGAGCAGCTCAGCTCGCAGGAACCTGCCAACCAGGGGCGCATCCTCGACCTCAAGACGGGGACTGTCAAGAAGGAGGGACATCAGTGTGAGTGAGGGGCGGAGGAGGGGTGTCACTGTGAGTGAGGAGTGAAGGAGGGGCATCACTGTGAGTGAGGGGTGAAGAAAGTCTGTGTGAGTGGCTGCAGGGGGTGAAGGATGAGTAACAGCTCTTATTTGGACGTTATATAGTGCGTTGATATTTGGACACTATGACTCATTTTATTTCTCCGAGTATTTGCCAGGTTTGAAACTATTATAATTATTTTTGTGATGATCAGCGTCGATGCGGTTATGCATGGGCTCCCGACGTGGCTTCATCTGCCGCATGAAGATCGGTCAGGTCGGGCCCGACGGCATGGCCAACGGTCACCTCAACAGACTGCGGCAGCGCAACTCTTTAGGCCACTCGGTTGATGGACACAACTACGCTGTCCTCCACTGTACCGGATACATCAAGAACTGGCCGCCCACCGGAGTCCAGGTTAGAATTTACAGCTCCTGACTCAGTTTTCTTTAGTATTCTTCGTGAGTGTTTAGCACGTAGCAGTCCCAAGCCACGCTGGAAAATGAATCTGTTCGAGTGAATAAATATTTGTGCTACACACACGACCGAGAAGACACTTAGCTGTCATAGCGAGTATGGTTTCAAGTACCTATAGTTTTTGTCGTTGATTTTTCCTTTTCATATTCAATAAAATTTTGAATTACAACTATTTTTTTCTCTCGTGGAAATGTATTATGCTGATTTTTTTCACATATGAGGAATATAATTTTCCCATGGTAACGAATTAATTTGTTGTTCAGATGGAACGCGTGGAGGAGGACAATCAGACGGCCAGTCCATCACACTGTTGCCTTGTGTCCATCGCCAGACTGCAGGTGACATCGACACCCAACACAGCCGACCTAATGGGATCATCGGCGGCTAACGGTGAGTCCGTAACACGCAACTGCCGAGCGTTAAGCAAGAATTTAAAAACAAGACGTCAAGCAAGTTTACTAAAAAATTACATATATTATAAGTAGAGTAACGATATACGTAAGTACTGAGCGTTAATGCGCTGTATACGGGGCCATATATATAAAGTGGCGGCAAGGAAAACTTTCAAGTAATAACCGCCGCTAGTTATCATGCTGCTGGCCTCGTGTATAAGGATACCGGGCCCTCCCGCGGCCAGTAGCGCCGTCAGTATTTGGAAGTTGTATTGCCGGTACTAATGTCCCCATCTACAAGTACCTAAACACTGCTCTATCACTCCTACTTGCATCCTCACCTGCACTTCGCTCCTACCTGGTCTTTCACTTGCACATTATTCTTGCTTGGCCTCAACCTTTCCAAGGTCCTGTAAAACGCGCTAGCTTTGATTGTAATAACCGCAACAAACGCGCGATTTAAAGGGTAACCCGTGTGTGTGATGAACGAGTCCATGCCAAGTTACTCTACTCTATTTACTATTATAATGGCGGCCGCTATAACATAGCAATAGTAACGGCCACCAATTATCGTGTTTCTGGTTATAAGTTATAGTAGCCATTAGTTAATTAATGTCGATCATTGTTACAAATCTACAGTTTTTTGTGGCTGTATGCGTTGATGTTGGAAAGTTAGCCTCTGCCAAAACTGCTCCTACTTTTCCTTAAGAACAAATCTCTGTCCACTTTTGTGCCGAGTTGTAGCATCCATTTCTCCCTAAAATCCCTGTATATAATTTTGTGTTCATGCATTGCATCAATGTATTATTTATGCATTGTAATAATATTTCAGAGTTCATATCCCGGCACGCAATGGACGGGAAGTTCACATTCGTGGATCAGCGCGTGACGAACGTGCTGGCCTACAGCCCCCAGGAGCTGCTCGCCAAAAGCTGCTTCGACTTCTTCCATCCTGAGGACCAGACGCACATGAAGGAGAGCTTCGACCAGGGTACCTATCCCAATTCGAGCTTGATTAAAACACGGCAATGTTCATTTCCTGGATGATTTTATCCCTATTTGTGATGGGATCGTTGGTTCCTGAGTATTTTTATCCCGACTATGTGAGGATTCTTGCTTGCTATAATGGGCAAGTTCAATTCAGTTGATCAATTTCATTAAGAGTTACCATAGCGGGGACCTGATAACTCGTAAAATAGGAATATTAAAAATACACTACAGCCATTGCTGCATGCATTTGGGATGAAGTGCCTATAGAGTAAAGGAAGGTTAGGTATAATATAAAGGAATATACCTGCTGCTCCCCCTGTTAGCGCAGAGTTACGTGTGGCTCTTCCCGGTTATTTGATCAGATCTTTTTTGGCGTGACATCGATTCATTCAAAAATTCAACACCATATTTATGAATGACTCCAGTATCGGAGAAAAACAGATATTTCAAAAAGTTTGTCATCACCCCCTCCCAACTGCACTGAGTCCATCAATAACGCAATTTATTTAGGTTTGAAAAAAATGGAAGATAATAAGTATTTGAGTGAATGTTATCCGATCGTTAATGGATGTGGTTATGTACTTTCTTAATAAAAATCTTGATGGAGGAATAACGACTTCAAAGCACCAAGAGAGCATCTATGCGAAAAAAATGATATTATTGATAGTATCATTAGTTACTAGAGGAATATCGTGTGATGATGTGACTATTTTACATCTGTACTCTTAAGAACAGAGTGACGTGTGTTTTTGTATACAGTTTGACTGGATGTTGAAATATCGTTGATGACTGGATGTATATTGTGTGATGTTATTTTTTTTCGATGTTTACGGTAGTCTCAAACGCTAACAAATTATTTTTTTGTTGACAGTTTTGAAGTTGAAGGGGCAGGTGATGTCGGTGATGTATAGGTTCAGGGCCAAGAACAGGGAGTGGGTCTGGCTACGCACCTCAGCCTTCGCCTTCCTCAACCCCTACACCGACGACATCGAGTACATCGTCTGCACCAACACTGCCACAAAGTGAATACATATTCTGCTAATTTAGTAACTCTTAAATTCAACAAACATCGCCACCAATAATGTCTTCAATTGATTAATTGACTTTAACTTCGTTCAACATACTTTCTGAATCAAAATCCTGATCGTGTCTGTCTATCATCATGGCATCATCCAGCTTCAATCATTAGTTCCTTAATCATTATGTCATCTCGCAGACCCATCGGTGGGGGAGGGGGTGATGGGGATGGAGGTGTGGGTGAACAGCACAACCCACACGATAGCTCGACGGGGCCACTCCCCCCCACGACGTTGGCAGCTCCCCCAGCTCCCCCTCACTACTCCCACCAGCCTTCCCTCGACTATTCCCTCACTGGGAGACGGGACGTTTATGCTCACATGCTCCCCTCTGCACACCTACAAGGTAATTAATCATATTTACCGAAGTGCTCAAGATCAGTGATGTCGAAATAATAATTTTGATAATATCTAAATAATAATATAATAATAAAATTATTCGCGATAAAGATGGGGAGAACAGATGCTTATGCTCACATGCTCCCTCTCTGCACTTTAATTACTGATTATTTATCACCTCCAAGGTAATTGATAACCTATTCATAATGTCTATTCATAATTTAGCTTAAATATTCTCTTCGTGGTTTATAAGGGAAGGTTCAAAGCAAGGAGATAAGTTTAAGAATTATTTCGGGTATTTATTAATGATGGAACGAACTTGGTCAGGTCGCAATGATGAGTTTGATGGTGATTGTGAGTTTAGTCGTGTCCTAATGTAACATGAAGTCAGCCAGGGAACAGAAGATATGGATAAAGATTTAAGTTTATACTTTTAAGCTTATTTGTGATATGTTTATTTGGACGGGGTGTATATTATCAATTTTTTTAAGAATATGGATTTTTATTAACACGATAACTGTGGCACGACCCACCCGGTTATGAAATACGCCCTGAACGCGACATAGCCGTACTTAATGTGTTAAGAGATAGGTATAAATATTCAACTACTCTGAGCTAATATTTATGTTATCTACATTAGGTAAAGGTTTGAGTATCATTTCTCCCTGTTTATTGCAGGAGGGCGACCGAGCAGCACACAGGGCGTGTATTATGAAGCAGGCCAGTCCCCCCTGCAGGGATACTCTCCCTCCACTCCCCAGAGCACCCCTCTTACTTCACAGGTACTTCACAGGAGTCACTTTTCTCACTTGTCACTTTTCTCACTTGTCACTTTTCTCACTTGTCTCTTTTCTCACTTGTCACTTTTCTCACTTGTCTCTTTTCTCACTTGTCACTTTTCTCACTTGTCTCTTTTCTCACTTGTCACTTCTCTCACAGGTCACTCCTCGAAAAACCTGTTAGTGAATCTGATCAGGTACTGATACCGTAGTTGCTTCTGACCAGTTCCAGTTATGAATGAATTTTCATTTTCGGGAGGACAGTCTGCGCGTTATGCAACTCTATACGCGATCTAATTTGGTTTTCTTAGATACGGAGTAAAATGATCAAGATTGGCGCTCGAACAAAGGACGAGTGGGTTTTATTTCTATAGTATCGCACCTATTTACAAGCCTTTTAACATCTAACTATTCGAATACGTTGATATCACCAGGAACTCTTGAAAGTACTCTTGCTGGGATAGATAAACATTTGTATTTATGCTAAATTAGAAACGAGAATGTATTAATGGTAATATGTTAATGTTGTGAACTTTGTTACAGGGTAACGAAGGAGGCGGCGCGTATACCTCATACGCCACCAACAGCAACATCTCCCCCTCACGGTCCCCCTCAACCCCTTCCTACACCCCTCTCTCCACCGCCCCACGCGCCCCCCTACCGTCATATTCAACCCCTCAAGCAGGTAAGATGTCCCCATCAATGCACCTTCGTGAACAATGAACTTATAATACTCAATTAAGGCATCGTAAATATTTTTGTTTCAATACAAATCAAAAGACATTTCAAGATATATTTAGTCACGTGTTGGTGCAGTAAGTATAAGTAATTGGTACCTATGATATGTTCGTGAGGTGCACTTGTTGAGTGTTGGAGGCAACTTCATAACAAACGATGAGGACAATGAATTTATTCATTTAAAATTGCACTTGATGAAGAGTGTAAAAAGCCTTATTTTGGCAGGCATGTGGCAGTACCCAGGCTTGACAGAGGACGGGGGACCTTCAACCAGTGCTGTCCACCACCCCCATCCCTCCCAGGGAGCCCCACACCCCGGCACCCAGCAGCAGCATCAACCTGAGCTCACGGATATGCTGCAGATTTTGGACCAGTCGGGCCACAGTAACTTTGATTTGAACAACTTGAGCATGTTCAACACAAACTTTGAATGATGGCGTCACGTAGGAGGCGGGTTACGGGGTATCACAGGCGGGTCACGGGCCGGTACATGCGGGTCACGGGGTAACACAGGCTTCATCTATTTACAGGGGTACGAAGGATACGTCGATCTCAAGAAAACAGGCGAAGTAGGCCTGGCAGTAGGCTTTGCTGCAGCCTAATACAGCGTGACGTAATGTGACGGACATTTTCAGATTTTTGAACCCCTGATTTTGCTGTGAATTACAAGCTTTTAGTGGCACGATGCGTGCATTTCTGTGTTTACTTCATCGTGTAAGTTGCATAATTGTGTGTTCACGTTTTCCTTTCATTAAAAGACAGCAGTATAGCAACTGGGCTAATAATAAACGGGATCGGTGGGTAAATATTATATAATCGCGAGGTTGATTTGTTACATCATTTGTCTTCGTAATTGTTCAATTGTGTTGGTGATAAGTAGGAAGCTCTTTTACTGATAATTTAAACTTGTAATATTTACTCGTTAACGGCAACCTCATATCAAAATGAGATGGAAGCCATACAAGTAATCATGTTCTATTGTTTAGTTATGCCCTTGTGCTCTAGTACGATGATGAACACTTCTGTTCCATGAATAAGTAATAAACTTTCGCTGCATGTGGGGGCAGCGACGTGCCTTTATAGTGCACATTTTACCATATCAAGGCTGGCGCGCTCAGGAGTCGTAGTGTTTAAATAGTGACACTCTCACCACGCTGCACTGATACGTCCTTATGCCGGGCCAAACTGGGTTGGGATGACCAATACAATGACAGAAAGTGCATAGCTAAATGGACAAAATCGCACTCATTTCTCCGAGTGCGCAGAGGTTATAGCTGCGGGCCACCCGCAACACGAACCTTGTACTGCATTCCGCGTGTATATAATTCGTCTGAAAGTTTCACCTTTTCTCACTTACCATTTAATGATCTAGTTCTACGATATTGATAGGTTACTTATTTTTTCTTATGCTTGAAATTCTTGCTCAGCAATGCACTCGTGCGCGTCATTTGGTTTCAGTGGTCGCGACTTCTGTTTGGTGTGTGCGTTCCTCGTACAACAATAGAATTAAATATATTGTTGAAAGTTTGTACGTATCTTATGTGTACATTTCTTTAATTAATCAAACGTTCATCGTCTTTATTAAAGTTGATATAATTTGTTGTGGAAGAGAAACGTCAGCACTCTCGTTACGGTGTTAATTTTGTACGAATCAATAAACTATGTAAAGTATATACGTCGACGTATGTAACGTATACGTCACGTGTACTCGAGTGGTGGGCTGGTGACGTCATAAGTACAATTGTTGAATGTGTGGTTTTGACTCTCAAGTCGGCTGTCCTGTAGGCTTAGTAAGGTTAATTCAATTATCTGGACATATCATCACAAATTTAATTAGAACTTAACGCACTGTGAATGCTACGCATAGTCACTGATTGTATTCTCTGGTTATGCAATGGTCTGTTGAATGCCGAGTGTGCACTGTACACCAGTAGATTGTTCGACAATCTTTGAGGATAGTAATTACCTGAAACATGTGTTTGAATTTTAATTCTTTGTCCGTTTCATAATTTGTACTTTTTATCAAAATATTAATTCTCTTCTCGAAATCATCTTTTTTTATGTAAGCGAAGCGTTTGTTCTACAGTACCCTATACATCAACTAAATGAATGCAGTTGAATGTATGAAGTGAATGTATCCGTCAAGAGAAGGTATGCCGTAGCAGACATTCCAAAGCTTTTATTTAATATGAACAGACACGTCGCGGGATCTGTTCTACTGTTGCCATATTTGTAGTGTTAAGATCAAAGTTCTTTCGTCTTATTATCAAAAAGTCCCACGATGAAGCCTCAGCGTGCAATAAATCCCGCTCGAAGGATGGGTTCTCATGAATGTACCCTAATAAGAACTTCATGGGTGGATCAAGAACTCCATGGATGTATCCTACCACGATAAACTTCATGGGTGTACCATTCCATGAAGTCCCATGACTTGAATGCGCGGTAATGAATCTCTGTGTTGAATTTACTATTTTTTAAGCTATTGTTTGGTAGACGCTCGCTGGCCAATTAGGGAAACGTTTTGAGCCACGTCAACCTTTAATCTTAAGCTCGTTTAAGAGTTTTTTTTTTTCAATCGGCATTTCGCTGGTGTTTATAGCCATACAAATAAACGCGGCTACCTTCATAGGCCGCGTATTGAACTGTTCCGTCACGAACTTTTCATTATTTTACGTGAATGGCAAATATGGCGATCCATTACCCGATGTCTTTTGCGTTGTGCAGGCGCGGAATATTTTGGAAATTGATAGACTTATTTACTAGTTACATCAAGTCCACGGCGAAGGCATTCAACGTACAAGAAATCAAGTATACTGAATAATCAGATTGTGGAGAAATACTGAGATTGAGGACAAGTCTACCGTGAATGATGCAGCAATTTTCCAGACTGAAGTTACTGTAGGCTACTTAAAAGTAGTTCTTAAGTAATGTTAATAGTACGCTGAATTGCGCGTTGTATATTCATGTCGTGTACATAGTGACAGGAGGCGCTGCTAGGCAGCGTCAGAGCTGCAATCAACTCCCGGTATTTTATGCTGATTTATCTCATAAAACATGCATCTTTTTTACGGGTGCATGGAGTCTCACTCAATTCGATATGTTTTTTTTGAAACCTATTGAATACAGGAATTTTCTGTGGCTTTGCTAGTTCTTCATGAGGACTCGCGTCAAGAACAGAAATTTCAAGGACCTCGGTTTCAAAGGATCGTCGTGTATATTGGAAAAATTTCAATGTGGAAATTCGACATTTGCTACAAAATCATGTTCTTGAAAACGGCCAATTCAAAATTTTCGTAGAGCATTGAATTTTTTTCAATTGTTATTGCAAGTTTGGCGCGGTACAAGCTGCTAAATTCGTTGCTTCACTGGCAGCGTAAGAAGCAACTTGAACTTTGAAGTGGCTCAAACCTTTCTATACGGATACATTAACCGTACTTAATGTTATTCGTATCAAAGTCCTGGTAACTAAAGTTATCGTAGTAGGTAACCGTGACATTTGAATCTCACGAATTCGTAATTCGTATAGCAAATCACGTGCGAATTATCAAGCGCTCGATGAAATTTTTTATCTTCTTGGATGTTCTGATAATTGCGTCAGTTTATTTAGTTGTTTGAGGTTAGGGAGGTTTAGCAACAATAGAGTTCTGTACATTAGTAGCTAATTATTATAAATAAAACCTATTCTTAATGAACTCTCGTTTATTTGCCCGCATAACAACCAAAAATTTACATACACCCTGCAACCACGAGCGAAAGATCCAACTGAATTTAATTTAAATGCTCGGATAACCTAAACTGCACAGTTTTATAATAAAATGTTGCGGCAATTGAAAAATCGCAGATACATTAATTTCAAATTCATGTTCAACTAATGCGTATAAAAAACAGTAATATTTTCTCAGCTCGTTCCATTCGTCAGCGATCTTCGAAATTATTTATGAAGCTCCATAAAGTTAATTGTCGAGGGAATATTACATTAAAAATGTACTGAAGGAAATTAGTTTGTTTTAAGTAAGAAACATGGCTGAACATAGCAGGTTTAATCACTTCATCATCTCTTAAATACGCCAATTTACTAATCACTTGAAAGCGTCGGTGACAATCACTAAACTGAGCAGACCAACTGGCAAGCAATTACTTGATTTACTAAAATTATTCGGCCGGTTTCCTTCAGAAACTAATAAAGGAAATACGTGTGCATCTTCATTTCCGTGATATTTAATCAGTACCTAAATTTTTGAGATCGTTCGCTTCTAATTTCGATTTTGCGCAGCGTTTTTCAGATCAGGATTTTACCCGCAACTCTAAGCTTTTATAGCAATAACGATCCAATATACAGATTGCATACCGGTTACATAGAAGAACAATACATTTATTTTTATTAATTAAACAATTAATTTTTCAATTAATGCAAAAAACAAACATAAATAAATCAGAAATGCGTGCCATAAGGATAACTCCAGGCTTAAAAGGCAAGCTTATGGAAAAATTATGAGAAATAATGATGCAGACAAGTCTTAGTTTTCGATGCTGCGTTGCAATCACATTAAAGTTAACAAATATACTCGTGATTTCAGGATTTCAAGAATTTAAAACAAGAACCAACACCAGGGGCCACAGCTATAAACTAAAAAAACTGCGTTGTAACACATCCACGCGACAACATTTCTTCTCGCTTCGAGTCACCGACATGTGGAACAGCCTCCCTGATAGCATCGTTGACGCTCCGAGTATGAACGCGTTCATGAACAGACTAGACGAAGTTATGCAGGAGTAGGTATATGTTCTGACTTGAAATGTCCATCTCCCCACGGACCTGGTAAAAGTCCAGTCACTATTTATTTCAGTGTCAGTTCGACGACCATCAAGATCTCCTATGGACAACTCAAGAAAATTATTAGAATCGCCGACAGGCCAGAATCGGCCAATTATCCAGCGCAAAATATACTACACTATTACATTATTTTGAAACGAATCGGTAATTTTTCCTTCTCCGCAGCTGCTTATGTATGCGGCATGCTAAGACAAAGCTTAAATTGGCGTTACAATGAACCGGCTGCGCAATTGTCTTCAGTTCACAACGAACCGGTTTGCAATAACAACTCGTCGCCGAGATCGTCAGCAAGTTTGTTCTCTTGAATGGAACTCGTCGGTCTTTATCATCCATGAGCGTGCGAACAATGCGGCACGCGCGATGTTGCACGCGCAGCTACCTGCGTCTAAAATATATTGCACGCGCGGACATCTGTACGAAAAATGTTGCACGCGCAGCTACCTGCGTTGCAATAAAAATGTTGCACGCGCAGCTACCTGCCTTGCAATAAAAATGTTGCACGCGCAGCTACCTGCGTTGCTATAAAAAAACTCAATAATTTTGACCGACGGATGCTCTCAAGCTCTTATGCTTGCCGCCATCTTGACGTTCAACACAAATTTTTGAACAAATATTCAAATTATTTCTACAATCGATGACCATTCATGCATCAAAACGGTTCAAGGTTCAAGTTCTCATTTATAATAAATTTAAATATATATAAATGTATTCATATATTAAAGTATAGAATTTATTATTAACCCTTAACATAAAATCAATTGAAACCTTTTTAAACTTAGGCATAAATTTCATGCTGTATTATTTAGAATATTATTCTTTAAATAAAATTCGAGAGCCATTTGAATTTCAACGCACTTTTGTTTTTCGAAACAAACTTTTCAATTCTGAATAATGACAAGAATTATCCTGAAAAAGGTCAGCAAAAAAGCCCCATGCAACAACAGCCGCTGAGGACCAACACGCGCAGGTCCTAAATGGGATTTTTCTCGCAAGTTTTAAAGGCTGGATTTGCCGCGGCATTGCAGAGCATTTGTGTTGCACGCGAGCAGGTACAATCCCGCATAAAAGTTTATCAAAGCGCCACACTTGCCCAACAAAGCTTGCACGAGCGCTCGATTCTGCAATCGAACATTTTTGCCGTTTTTACAAAATGGTTTTTGTGTTAATTTGACAACAGGTTGCTTATAGAGTGGATAAAGAGGTTTATAGATGGAAGTCGAGTAGAGGTATGGCGTTCTACAAGTGTTAGATATACGAGTTTTTCATCCAGCTGCTGTAGTGAAAAGAAGGCGTCAATGACTTTAACTCGTATAGAAAAATGTATAAATGCATGACAAGTAAAATGGTAATATGTTGTGTGATTTTCATAAAAAAAACTATTTTAACGCAACCCAATAATTAGCCGAGTAAATGGTTGGTATAATTATACACAATCTATTTCGGGGCATTAAAATTATTGCAGAATATAAATAATTAAATAAATTTCAAATTTGAACTTCACCCTGATTTCCGAAATTTTAGACAAAGAAGTTTATTTAATCTTGACAAGTAAAATTTAAATTTCATTTGCTTTTCATTTTCTTGCTCTGGTACAATATAGTTGTGGCAAGATAAGAAATGTAACAACTGAAGTAAAGCCATGCGTGGCAGTAAATTATTGTGATGTTATATATTCGAAGTTCTACATTTTGACAACTTTTTATACAGGAATCCTTAATCACGTATTTATTTCCAATTACAAAGAAGAATATGACTATTAAATCCGTAAATGAATTAATCTACGGATTTTTAAATGAATGTTCTACACGTATATGAATCCATGTACACAGATGAATAATAATGTTCAACACGCATTGTATTCATCTACACAGATATTCAAATACTCATCCAATATCAGCATTACTTCAGCTCCACAAATTCCACCACCGCCCCACTTCGCTGAAGCGACAAATCCCCAGACATATGCCGGGCTTGCGAACCCTCCCCCCTCGCCCGGAAGCTCCCCTCGCTCCCTCTCCCAATGGACTCCCCTCACCCCCACCCCATCACTCATTTCTGCAACATAATTCTGTGAAAGGCATTCGGTTAGCGACGAAGTATCGATTCCTCAGGACCGCCTGCAAGACTCGGCAACTGTCGCAAGTTTTTTTTTCATTTGAGAGTAGGCAGTAGAGATCGCTTCCCTCTCCATCTCCCCTTTTTTTGAGGGAAGCGAGGAAGGGTTTAATGAGAGATGGTCGTCGAAGCGAGGGAGCAGCATGCATGGCCGGCTTTTGGTAGGCCATTAAAAGCAGCGGCGCTATGCTGATTTTCGGTCCGTATTTCTTATATATTTCCTTCTTCGACCGATCGAAGGGCACGACAAAAGCCAGGCAAGTTCGGCGCTAGAGACCGACTGCCCAGACTGCCGAGTGCGTCGAGCAATAACCTCCCAGCTGCAAACGTTGCAGTTATCACCATAGTTGTTAATAATACGAAAAAGAACAAATGTTGAAGATTGGGAATAATGCATTTGTAGAACATGAATATTCTTTAGATTATATGAGAGACATAAAATCTGCAACTGTGAATATTCTTTGCTCGTCTTAGGAAATCAATTCTGTAATACCGCACACGAGTACCCATCCAGATTAACTATTCAACGAATGATTGTTTCATTCCTTTGGACTCATTCATTAATTCATTCCATTGAATAAATATTCGTTGTAAGTGTCGCATGAACGAAGATCTGCAGTATCGTTAGTGCGCACGAACGAAGGTCTGCAACATGTTAGTGCGCACGAACGAAGGTCTGCAACATCTTTAGTGCGTACGAACGAAGGTCTGCAATATCGTTAGTGCGCACGAAAGAAGGTCTGTAATATCGTTAGTGCGCACGAACGAAGGTCTGCAACATCTTTAGTGCACACGAACGAAGGTCTGCAATATCGTTAGTGCGCACGAACGAAGGTCTGCAATATCGTCAGTGCGCACGAACGAAGATATGCAACATCGTTAGTGCGCACGAACGAAGGTCTGCAACATCTTTAGTGCGCACGAACGAAGGTCTGCAACATCATTAGTGTGCACGAACGAAGGTCTGCAATATCGTTAGTGCGCACGAACGAAGGTCTGCAATATCGTTAGTGCGCACGAACGAAGGTCTGCAATATCGTTAGTGCGCACGAACGAAGATATGCAACATCGTTAGTACGCACGAACGAAGGTCTGCAATATCGTTAGTGTTGCAGGAACTAAAATCGAGAACGTGGTTAGTGACGTATGAAATCAAGGCTTTCTTAATAATAAAACGATTCGAAAAATTAAAGATTATTAACCAGCTATTTGTTATCGTTTTATATAATGATATTAAGAACGGCAAAAGTTGATTGCGTTGTCAAGACGGACAGAATTCGCTTATTATCGCAACTTCTTTAAAAATCTATTGAATAAGGTATAAATTAATTACAAACCATCAATTGAACAATTATTATTATCCATTATTATGCCAGCATAACAGCCTCAACGGTGCAGTGAACAGATTTTACTAACACAACTTATACAAATTGTAAAATGTGTGATTTTTAGGCATCGTTGAAGATATTTAGATTTATTGGCCGTAACAAAATGACACATAATTAAACAATGAAATTGAATATTAATAAAGATTCATAGCATCATCTATGAAGGCAGGTACCCGCATAGTTAAGGATATATTGTCGAGGCTGAACAATGAAACATCAGTTGCTGTTGCAGCAGAAGTGAGGGAACTCATCAGCAACGAGGGGAGGTGAGGGGAAAGAGGGGCTAGAAAGAGACGGGGGAAAGCACCCATACATTAAACACAATTGCAAATGGGCAAGATGGCAGAGGGAAAAG